CTCTTTCATTTGAGCCCAAAAAAACATTCATATCTTGTCTGACATCTCTGCTACAAACTCTGGTCATCAACTCTGGTTTTCAGTTGAAATTGGAATTGTTAATTTACACAATAATAGGATTGCATTGACGATTTTTTATTAACTCGCAAAAATCTTCAAACAATTTGCTATGGATTGGTGACAAATTTTTTTGGAAATAATGAAATAGAGGGGATAACGCCTTTTTTTTCAGAGGTGATTTTTCAAAAATTTATTTAAAAAAAAGTACTAACTAGCAAATGTTTTTTATTAGCTCGCAATTTTCTTCAAAACTACTTCAATGAGGTAACAAATAAAAATTTGGAATATCTATACATGAGGGGCTAATTGATCGGATCTCAATACGCCAAAATAAATAGTAGATCATTTTAACATTTATATTCAATATTTATCTCCATTCCCATTAAAATTATGGTGATAGATCATAGATCATCATTGAAATTGATGGAAGTGCAGACGATGAAGAATTAATTATGAAGCCTTTGGAGAAATTTAATTTTCGACGGAAAAATCCGTTTTTTCTCCAAATCTGATTTAAATTAATTTTTTAATTCTTCGCTTAGTAAATTATAATTAAATTGTTGGGTTATATCATTGAGGCGTGACGCTGCGGGAAAATATCTCTGTTTTTGTATAGAATTTTAAAAATATTTGTATTTCTTCCATCTGTATTACTGAAAAAATGACGAAAGGTCACAAGGGTCTTTTATTAAAATTACGATTCTGAGCATTCAGATCATTCGATTTATTCTGCTAAAAAAAAGTTGCAACAATACAAAGATACATATTTAAGCCATTGAACACTCTCACACCTTTCTTATGGCGCACTAATACATTGAGGGCCTCCCTACTCTTCTCACTCGTAGACGATTCATGATTTTCACGAAGCAATGGGTTTATAGTTAGTGGCAGATCATGGGTCAAACGGGGGAGAAGAAGGGTTAATCGGGAGGGACATTAGACCCTCGCCAATGTGGAACGATAATAAATTTCGATTTTTAAGGTTTAAACGGGAGAGACGTCGAGGGTCAAACAGGGGAGAAGGGCTAAATGTCCTTAAGTCTCAAGCGGGAGAGACATTTGACCCTCGACAGGGTGGAACGATAACAAATTTCGAGTTTTAAGGGTCAAACGGGAGGGCCATTTGATCCTCGGCAAGGTTAAATGTTCTTAAAGGTCAAGCGGGAGAGACATTTGACCTTCGACAAAGTGGCACGATAAATTTCGAATTTTGAGGGTCAAACGGGAGAGCAAAAGGGTCAAACATTCTTTATCGCCAACCAGGAGAGACAGATGAAGGGTCAAACGGGGAAGAAGGGTTAAATATTCTTAAAGGTCAAGAGGGAGAGACATTTGACCCTCGACAAGATGGAACGATAACAAATTTTGATTTTTGAGGGTCAAACGGGAGAGCAGTTTAAACGTTCTTTATCGCCAACCAGGAGAGACAGATGAAGGGCCAAACGGGGAAGAAGGGTTAAATATTCTTAAGGGTCAAGCGGGAGGGACATTTGACCCTCGACAGGGTGGAACGATAACAAATTTCGAATTCTGAGGGTCAACCGGGAGAGCATGAGGGTCAAACATTCTTTATCGCCAACCAAGAGAGACAGATGAAGGGTCAAACGGGGAAGAAGGGTTAAATATTCTTAAGGGTCAAGCAGGAGAGACATTTGACCCTTGACAAGATGGACCGATAACAAATTTTGATTTTTGAGGATCAAACGGGACAGCAGTTTAAACGTTCTTTATCGCCAACCGGGAGAGACAGGTCAATCCCTCTGAGCCCCTTCCCCTTCTCTCCCATTTAACCCTTAACGCTCCCCTAATTCATACGCAATTCCTAAATCAATCCTCATTAATTTTCCGATTATATGATTAACACCTACAAAATATGGAAAAAAAATTTATCCACAAAATGAGATTTCCTGAAAAAATATTCTTTCGTATTTCCTCTCCGCCCCCTACAATTTACTCTTCGCACCATCATCGAACCAAGCGATAACATGCGGCGCGACATTCTCCGGTATATTATTATGAACATCGTGATTTCCCTCGATAGTGACCATCGTTAAAAACTCTGTAAACAGCTCCTTGTACTTCTCCGCCAAATGGAGCTTCTTCACGAGTCCAAACCAGGAGTCCTTGGCGAGGAGGAAGAGCACCGGAGTGCGAAGATGCTTGAAGAATTCAAAATTCTGCTCATCGCTGAAGCAAAGTCCAACATGAATCTTCATCCTAATGTCCCGGTTGTACTTGTACTTGTCCCCGACTCTGGTGACAGCCCTTACCATAAGGGCCTCCGCAGCCTCTCTGGTCAATTTGAACCGTCGCCTATTCATGAGCGCATCGAGGACTTGCTCACCGGTGTAGAGTCTCTCGTCTTTCTTCTCGAACGCCAAGAGGGTGGATTTATGGATTATCTTCAGTCTCTCGAAGGCTTCGGGTGGCGTGAACCCCTCGGCCATGAGGGCATCGATGGTTATCATCTTCTCGATTCTCCCGGGGTAAAAAATGCAGTACATGACGCCTATCTGTCCCCCGAAACTGTGACCCAGGTAGAGGCACTTCTCCCAGTTGAGCGCGTCCAGGACGTAGTGGATCGCCAACACGAAGTTGAAGAAGTCCAGGAACATGCCGGGGGGAAAGTGGGAGGAGAGACCGTGGCCGGGGAGGTCGATGGCGACGTAGTGGTAGGTGTCGGGGAGCAGCTGGATGAGGCGCGTGAAGGCGCCTGCGTTGTCCTGGTTACCGTGGACGACCAGTACTGGACGGTTCTTTGGGGAGCCCCAGGATACCGCCGATACGTGACCCCAGGGGACGGACAGGGTGAGCTCCGTTGACTGCCGCATCCTGGGGAACAGGAGGGGTCTAATCTTTTTTCTTATTTTTTCGCGGTTTTTATAGGTCGGGGGCAGAGATAGGCATAATCATAAATTACAATTATCATTAATTTCATGAATAATTAATCAAGTAATAGTACTTGACAATTTTCAATTATTAAATTAATCAAAAATTAAATATTCAAATTCCGAATTATTTTACCCATCAATAATCGAATTCGGAAGAATGACGATTATTTGATAATCTCTAATATTTTTTAGGAAATTTTCAATTATTTATTATTTTCTATGTTCCAATGATAAGTGAATGAATTCAGTTATTTTGGGGAAAAAATGCTCTTAATATTTCTGGAATAATGATTGATGCCGATCACTGGTCGGAGGCTTAAAAGTCATTTTTTTATGACGCTGTCCGTAAAGTGGAGATTTGCACTCCGAGTCCGTCAAACGTCGTTTGCGGACGGTGTGGAGAAATGGTATGTTTCTTCACTGGTGCGTAAAGTGACATTTTACGCACAGGGAAAATCCCACTTTACACGTTTCCATTGGGATGAAAAATAATTACATGAGGCAGAAACGGTTTTGTGGTCGAATAAGAAATACGATTTTTTTGTCATTCCAGCCGTTATGACAAAAAAAATTTTGTTCGTCGCACGGCTGAAAAAAAATTTTCTAGCTCATGTGATATGATGGAACTCATTCGCCAGAAAATTTTTTTTCGACCTAGTGACGAAATGTACTATTTTTTCATACTGTCCGTAAAATGGCGTTTTATGCGCAGTGTGAGTAACATGTGCCTTTCAAGAGAGGTGATCCATAAATTATTTTAGTATAACGAACCTTGTGAGTGGTTAAACACGAATTTTTATGGTTTGGATTGAGAGTAAAAGTTTTGTCACTTATCAGCACTTGAACTTTTATCTCCGGTGGAAACTGGCTCAGAGTACGAGTGCAAACTGAAAGTCACGCAGCAAGCACATATCAACGTTCGAGGTCTTCAGGAGAATTTCTTATGAATAAGAATAAATAATTCATTCCTTCGTTTCGTAATGAGTTTGGGAATGCGGTCGGTCATTTGTGTGACAATAAGCGATTGAGATAGAATTCATCATTTTTCAATCCTCAGCTGTTACTATAAATTTATTTTCAAACAACTGTAAATTAAAAATGCTAATTATTACTTAAATTAAATAAAAGACATCGTTTCGTGGCTGCACAATGCGACGAACACTCAAAATGTAGAACAAAAAAAAAATTGGAAATAAAATTGAAAATAAAATATTTGATTTCCCAAAAAATTCAAAAATGGAATCAAACATCGAACGTCAAAATTAGAATTTCAAAAACATCCAGAAATTTAATAAAACCCCAATAATACGAAATTTTTCAATTCCTCAATTTTAAACAATCAAAAAAATTTAATTAAAAAAATCAAAAAATTATGAATTTTGAGTAAAAAAAACTAACCGAAAGGTCGAAAATATTGGGTTAAAAAATTTTCAGGAAAAATTAAAATTTCCCGCCAAAACTCATGAAAACAGCCCCAAGCGACCGGAAACTAGAAAATATGAAATTTGAGTTCCAAAAAAATCCAAAAATGAAACAAAACACCGAAAATTCAAAATTTAAATTTCCAGAACATCCTAAAATTAAACAAAAAATTGGAAACTTGAAATTCTCATGCAAAAAAATTGAAAAATTGTATAAAAAAATTAAAACTTGCAAATTTTTATTTTTTAGATGAAAAAAATACAAAAAAATCGACCGAAGAAAATGGAAAATTTTGGGTCAAAATGTTTTCTGAAAAAATCAAAATTTCCCGCGAAAAATGATGAAAACAGGCCGAATCAACCGGAGACGTGGATTGCCAGCCCTGCGCGGCATCCCAACATGCGATTGTGGTACCGCTGTGAGGGGGATAGAAGCGGTGAACGCGTGAAGCTCAGTGTATCAGGCCTGCCGCTTTAATGTTTTGCCCAGTTCTTCTCCCAGTGTTCTCAAAAAAACGGGAAAAACTCAAAATATGAGGCAAATCCCGGAGTGATTCACCCCCTCTCAGAATAACAAAACAATAATGCCCCTGGAATTTATTGTCTCGACGAGTATGAAGTGCAAGAGACACTGGTTGCGGTAATAGCGAATGTAATAACGGATGGAATCGTTCGATTAATCCGTCAAGAGACCCTTTGTCATGGACATGCAGGCGCCGAACGGTTCGTAAACATTTTTACCACCTCATTTCGCAAAAATAACTCTCAAAGCAGTAGAAAAAGCCCCCGAATGATTCAATTTCCTCGTTTGTCCGGTTTATTTCCCCTGAAATTGACAGATTGCATGATCATGAGACTCTCGGGACGTCTCCCCCCCTCTCCCCACCCCTTGAAAAAGGTTAAATGAACCTGGAGCTTCCTCCGACGCCTGGCGTCCCAAAATCCCCCGAACCCCCTCTATTTTTTTATTGCACCGCATGATATTTTCGGCATTATTTGGTTGGGAGGAAAATACCCGAATGGAGCACTCCGGAAAATTGTGGCCCTTTTTTATGAATGAAAGATGTGAAAATCCCTAATCCAATTCCTCTGTTTATTTATTCATTCATTTCACAATGTTTTGGAATTATTTATTTGAGAGGAGAATGTCCAAGGGGAGTAATTCCTCCTAAAGATTAGGGCTTTGACTATTTTTGTTGTAAAAAGTGTACTCCAACCTGAAATAATGAATGGAAATTCATTAAATCCCTCAATTTTTTTTTATACACCACGTGATTTTTTTTGTCTTATTTATTCGAGAAAAGAATATCCAAAAAAAGCAATTGTTCAAGAAAATCCGCCCTTTTTCATTAAAAAACTACAAAACCTGAAATAATCGACTCGACATTCACATAAATTCAAATACAGATATAAAAAGTTCAGTGATTATTTTTCAAAAAGTTTATCATTTCTTCGCCATCAAAAAATTCCAGTCTAGTAGAATTTATGAATTTTTAAAATAATAAATTCCTTAAATAAACTTTTTTTCAATAATTTTATCATTTCTTCGTCATCAAAAAATGTCAGTCTAGTAAAATTTATCAATTTATCAATTTATCAATTTTTGAAATAAAACATAATAATTTCATGTTTTGAGAATGAATTTAAGAGAAGGAATTGCTCACTTGGATGTGACTCACTCGCAATGTTTATTTCCTCTGTAAATTATGATTTAACAATTTATAAATTTTAATTTTAATTAGGAATGAATGTTTGTGTGAATCCAGTGTACGCCTCCATCCCTGGTATTCCCGAATTGGGAATGGTATGGATGGGTGACATGATGGTCCATGGTGAACCTAGTCACGAGCTGATGCTGGATCCACGTCAGGCTGAGAGTCCATATTTCACTCATGGAACCCATGCATTTGATAATATTAGAAATCATCAAATGGCACAGACAACAATGGTCAGATATATGCCACAGCAATTTACTAATGAGTGCTCGGAAACTGAGGAAACTATGGAGCCTCCTGATGGACAAGATATGCATCAGGTAAGATTGTAAAATCGGAAATTTTGGGGAAGGGGAGAGGCCAAGGGGTCGTAAATTTCTTCGGGTTTATTGCTCGATGGGATCTTTCCCCGGTGTTTACCTTACGACTAGTGATGGAAAAGTCAGAAACTTTGGGTTGAAAAGTCGGAATTATTAGGGATCTTTGAAATTTTTAGGAGATACTTATTCATTCAATATCAAAATCTAAAAAAAAACATTTTAATATTTTTAAAATATTTTTTATTGACAAAATTGATAATTAATAATTATGATAATTTTCTAAAAGAAATTCAAAAAATGTTTTTGAAATGAATGTTTCTTAAAATTGTCTTTGAATTCTCAATTTCATTTGCGTTCATTGTTGGATTAAGCCCCGGGCAAATTATTTTCCGACCGTTATCTCGATTGTTTTTCCATCTTCATAATATAAACTACATCAAAATTTCTATTGCATTTTACATCACGCAGGCATCCCTAAAAATTATGATTGCACAATAAAAAAAACTGAACATTTTCAAAGAGCTTTCTCAATACTTAATAAAGATTAAGAAATAAGTCCGACAGAAAGGAAATAGCGAATGGATAATTTATCATGGCAACTAACGCTCTGACAGCCACTAGATCCATTAAATTATAAACTTGCAATTTCCTCCCTATTGAGTTCATTCCCCAAAATTACTCAAAAACGTAATCTAAAACTGAGTAGTAATGTGAGATCACTCAGTTTATAAAACTAAAAAAACACCCAAGATCCCGTTGGAAAGATAATCCCTGATCTGAAATGAAATACTTGAAGCCCAGTAATCCTCACAAAAGAATAACCTGCAGGAGTACGAACCCCAGCCAGACAACCCAGAAATGAGTGAATACCTCACTCTGGACGACTACATAGAGGAGGAGCAGATGGAGATGGTAGTGAACAACGCAGCGACGCAGACAACCCAAGACAGTAGAAATCGCAAGATCAAGCCGATAAAGCACCCAAACCTGGTCCTGAAGACTCCAATCGCCTACCAGCCCACCACAGACCTCAACTTCATTCCCATCCGCAAGGACGGCATAGCAGTCTGCGAGAAATGTGGTGCCATAGGTGTGAAGCACGCCTTCTACACGAAGGAGCGTAGATTCTGCAGTCGAGCCTGCGCTCGTTCCTCCGAGCACCACCAGCACAATCCCAACGCCGACTCCACGAGGAGTCCCTCGCACACGTCGGACCAGTCCTCGACGAGTTCAGACCCTCCGAACGACAGCTCGAACCCACCGCAGCCCTCGAAGCCCTCGAGAAACGAGTCGAAGGCCAAGAGGAGCGACGAAGAGGACTCGAGGGACTGCATCAGGAAGGAAGCTGACATGGAGGACGTGGTGAATGAGCCTGTGATGCCTGACGAACTCCCTGTCAGGAGGAAGAGGACAGCTGACATGGCTGGCTCGTACGACTGGACACCCCAGCTGACGGAGCCAGGCTTCTGCGCTGCTCCTGTCTCCTGCTTCAAACACGCCCCCATCTCCGAGATCTGGGACAACATCACGGTGGGCATGAAGGTGGAGGTGGAGAACACCGATTGCGATGAGGTCTGCGAGGCCTTTCCAGACTCCTTTTGGGTGGCCACTGTACTCAGGATCTCGGGGTATCGAGCACTCCTCAGGTAGTATTCTGTTCTAAGGCTCAATCTGGCCAAATGGCCAGATTGGGCCATTTGGCGTCTAAATATGGACATTGACGATTTGGTGATAATTTAGCGCGTTCGTAACATTTAGGGCTCGAGGGAAAAATATTATATTTGAAAAATCTTCGTGTGAAATATTTTCTTGTTTACATATCTGCATTCAATTCTGCTGTTCCATCTTTATTTGTGTACGTCCACGTGAAAAGGGCCCACTTTGTCGCATCTAGTTTCCGAGATATTCACGTTTTTCTCTCCACATCTCCCATTTAAACCAATGTTTAAAAAAATTAGAGGAAAAAATTTAGAGAAAAATGTGGAGGAATCACAGGCATTCCCCTTTCGATTTTCGGGGTCATTACAATAATTTCTTTCGGCTCGGAAAGTTGAAAATTTTCTTTATTATTCGCCATTTCTCGTTAAAGGTACGAAGGATTTGGCCACAACTCTGAAAAGGACTTTTGGGTCTCCCTCTGCTCCAATGACATCCACCCAGTGGGCTGGTGTGCAACAATCGGCAAGCCCCTCATCCCCCCAAACTCAATCTCCAACAAGTACAAAGACTGGAAGGACTTCTTGATGCGTCGTCTCACCGGTGCCAGAACCCTCCCCACCAACTTCTACAACAAAGTGAATGACAGCATGAAGTCCCGATTCCGCTGTGGCCAGCACTTGGAAGTGGTGGATAAGAATCGAATATCTCAGGTGAAGGTGGCGACAATTCAGAAGATTGTGGGTAAACGCCTGCACGTGAGGTACTACGACTCATCGCCAGATGACAATGGCTTCTGGTGTCACGAGGACTCGCCCTTGATTCACCCTGTGGGCTGGGCCAAACGTGTGGGCCAGACCCTCGACGCCTATCCAGACTACCTCGACAGGATAAACACAGGGAGATTATCCCAGGAGGACGCCACTGATAACCTCTTCCACGTGCCAAAGAACCATCACCTCGCTCTGGGGTACACTTTTCGTGAAGGAATGAAGATCGAGGCGATTGATCCGTTGAATCTATCAGCCATCTGCGCTGCCACCATCATGCAGGTCAGTACTTTGACTATTTTTTTCTCCAATTAAATGCTTTTCTACTTTTTTAGGCAAATCACAGCTTCATTCGAACCTCTGACCCTAAGTTTTCCGACATTTTTCTATGATTTTATTATTTTAACTTTACAGGTGGAATTTGAATTTCGATATTGAACCGTTAGAACAAATTTTTTTACTGTGAAGAAAAAATTAGAAAGTTCACTTTTGAAGGAAGTTGCAGTTTTCCATTAATCATTTATAATAATCAATTTTTCACCATAAAAATCGTCTTATATTCATAATTTTATCAGAAGTCGATCAACAACAATTTCTATTATTCATTTATTAACGACCAATGTTGAAACAAATTAGAATTGTCTGCAAAATATAATTTTAATGGCGCTGAAAATTCCCATGTTTTTCAAATTTTTCGCACGCAATTTAATTGACAAATTTAGTGATTGAAAATGATTGAATCCCAAACTGTCAAAGATACTCGGATATCCTTAAATAAAATTATATTATTGCACGGAAAATCAGTCGATAATATGAAACAATTTTTGCATTATTAAATTATTAATCAATCTATTATTCAAATTTCGAATTATTCATTCAATAGTCCACCGACAATTTAGATTGTCCATCGTTTTGATAATTTTCTTGTTTCCAAAATTAATAAATCAATAAATAATAAATTACCATTAACAAACAACTCATGAATTCCAGTTCGTGAATGGAAAATTCCCTAATTAATGGTAAATCGCTTCAAAGTGATTTCCAATTGCAAAATGGCTTGTACTGACTGTTAAAGTGTTCAAAAAATTCTTGAGATGATTGACAATTACGAAAGCAATAGAAGTTGATAGCTTAAATACTTCAAAATGCCCTAGCGCAGTGGTCAAACAGTTTTCAATGAATATCTCGAAATCTGAGGGAGCCAGCAAAATTGTTCTCATAACCTTTTTAGCAGCACTCAATTCGCTCTACAAAAAAGGTTATCATGAGAATTCCGCTATCTCCCTTAAATTGGGAAATATTTCAGGAAAACTCAACCAAAGACTGAATTGAAAAGCGTCTGACCACTTCTGTACTGAATTAATCATAATGAAATATTATAAGTTCGTCTATCCCTGGCTGCAGGTGCTGAAAGAGGACTACATAATGATCAGGATTGACAGCTACGACGAGGACACAAGTGGCTCTGACTGGTTCTGCTACAACGTCAGCTCGCCGTGCATTTTCCCCATTGGATTCTGCGCCCAGCATGGGCTCCCCCTGACCCCGCCAAAGGGCTGCGACCCAACAGCATTCACGTGGGACAGTTATCTGGCTGAGTCTAACACAGTGCCAGCACCAGTGCAACTGTTCAACCGCGAAGTACCCCAGCACGGTTTCGTCGAGGGGATGAGGCTGGAGGCAGCCGACCTGATGGATCCCAGACTCGTCTGCGTTGCCACCATCACGAGGGTCATTGGGAGACTCCTTCGGGTGCACTTCGATGGCTGGGAGGACGAGTACGACCAGTGGCTCGACTGCCAGAGCCCTGACATTTATCCTGTGGGCTGGTGCGACCTGGTGGACCACAAGCTCGAGGCACCAAGGATTCTCGTGAAGAATTCCACTGTCAAGAGTCCCAGTGTGAAGAGCCCACGTGGATTCAAGCGCAAAGCCAAGAGAAAAGTCAGGAAGGGAAAGGCTGGGGGGAGGAATATTCTGCCCAGGCACAGTGAGAGGCTGGGGGGCCTCAGGGAGAGGACGAGGGGCAGGGAGGAGATGGGAATGGAGCCGGCGTTGGGGACGAAGATCGAGAGGAGGGAGGTGGAGAGCTTGCCCCAGGAGGTCAAGAGGGAACCTGCACCTGCCGAGGAACCTGGGGGGGTTGATCAGATGCTACCCAGTGCTGCTAGTGGCCAGGGCTGTGGCGACGATAACTCTAACCCACCGAAGGAGAGAACTGCTACTTCTTATATTCATGTGAGTTGGGAATTAACTATTTTTAAGTGGTTTATTTAGCTTACTTTAGGGTTTTTTCATTCATTTTTTTAAAGGTATTATGATTTTTTGGAATTGGTGGGAAAGTCTGAATTAAATTTCACGTATTTTATCTCGAAATTTTTTCATTCATGCCGTCTTTTATGATATTTTAGAACTATGAAGTCATATTTTTTGGAATATAAAAGATTAGGCAAAAAAATCATGAAAAATATCACGATTGAAAAAAACAATTAATAATGGAGTGGAAAATGCATTAATGATGGTAAAAATATAATTTAAAAAGTCGAATTTAAAAAATTTGTCCATGTTACATTGATTTCCATAAATTCAGAAAAAATTGATTATTAGTATTGAAATTCATGCATTGAATTTAGAATTAGATCCATCATCTCTTCGGGACATTTCCGCTACTATTAATTTAGATCAAGACATTTTCAAATCTTCGTTTTTATTTTTTAATGTTGGAATTGTTTATCGCTTATTTTCTTCCACAAAGAAAATCTGAATTAAATTTAATGCATTTTATCTCTAATCTTGTGAAATGACTTCATCATGTTTTACAATATAAAAGAATATGCAAAAATATCGTGATTGAAGAAAAAAATCAATTAAAAAAAGGAAGAAACAAGTGAAATCAAAGTAAAATATTGAAATGAAATTGTGCACTAAATCAAATTGTTCATAATTCTCTCATTACTATTTCCAGGTGAATACAACGAGTGGCAAATACATTCCCAGAATAGCCGATGGTTGGCACAGAAATACCGAAAATGGTGACTTAGTACCGAACGAGTGGAATGTATTCGACGTAGCCCAGTTTCTACGTGTTAATGATTGTGCAACATACTGTGACAATTTTAGTAAACGTAAAATTGACGGTAAAACATTACTCACCTTAACAAAGGACCAAATCATAGATCTAACAGGCTTCAAAGTGGGCCCATCACTGAAAATATTTGATCTGATACAACAGTTAAAAATCAAAGTTAATCCAGCTCAGGAAAGGTTGAAACTAGGACTGAAAAAAATATTATAACAAAGATAGAACTTTTAGAGTAGTTTTTTTCCGGGTACTTTTCGAATTCCTCGTGGATTTTTCGATTTTTTTTACTTAGGATTAGGATAGATATCATGGAATATGATAAGGCGTGTGACTACGGTTAAGTGAATTATTGTCGAAATTTTTCGATTATTTTTTTTTCGAACAGAATTATTTTTACTTGAGGTAATTATCGGGTGGAAGATGAAAAATTAATTAGTTGGTTCGACCGAAGGTTTTTCGATGAATTATCGATGCGAATTTAAAATTTGTTGTCTGTAATGAAGTGAAAGGATCATTTTTAGTGTTAATTTGCATCATTCACGTAATTATTCATCCTTGAATAGTCATGAAATACAAACAGTGCCATTGAAATTTTCTCAGAAGCAGTAGTTCCTTTATTTCACTTCATTACAGATCGTTTGAGATGGAAAAAGTGATACTCCTCTGGCTTTTCGATTCACAGACGTAGTGATGAATTGTTTTAAGGCTTCTTATCCGAGTAATCGTTCGTTGTACATATGAGAATAATGGCCTTGTAATCTACGATCCTGTGAATATTATATTTAGTGGCAGTTGATGCTGAAGTATGCAATTATTGAGAGCCAATGCAGCACTTAATAGTCCGATAGTTCGTAGCAGATTCGGTTTAATGGAAATGTCTGGGATTGTTCAGTTGTCAAGTGGGGGAATGTAATAGGAGAGGACAATTTTGTCGGTTTTTAATTGTTGAATCGTCTCGGTATTGAGAGATTTTAGTGCAAAATGTTGACACATGTTTCTGAGGGGAGACAAAAATCGAAATTTTGTCTTTCAAGAAATGTTGGAGGACATTTTTGTAGAGAATTTTTTCATCTATAAAAAATGTCTGGAGATATTTTCGTCTAAAATCAATATTCTTGAGATAATTACGAACTTAATGAGAAGAGACAACACGTAACAGCAAAAAATGATTTTTGATGTTTCGTTAGTCGTTCAATTATCCTCGTAATGACTGAGTTTAGAAGGAAATGTGAAAAGACATTTTTGTAGAGAATTTTCCCGGCTACAAAAAAGATCTAGAGACATTTTGCGCTAAAACTACTCGTTTTGGACATAATTCCATGTTTCGTTCTACCACTTTGATACTGAATTTCAAAAAAGAAGAATTTGTGTTCGTGTTCACTGGAATTTGCAAGTACACGTTGTTTATCAGAATCACGCCGAATTTAGGAGTTATTTTTACACTGGTGCATTACTACGACTGTACAGATACAATAGGTATAGAATATTTCGATGAAATAATCGTATTATGGATTTCTGCTCCGATAATTCTGAACTGAAGAGGTCAAATGTTGAGAGACATTCGCAGATAATTTTTTCAGATCAACAAGATCATCTGAAAATGAGTGAATAATTGAGGAGAAAAGGCTCCTGTGAACTTCATAAAAATCCAATTTCATTAATCGCGAAATTGTCTCGTTAACGACTGATCATAAAGAAAAATGTCCGTCATTTTACCCTCCACTTCAGAATTCACCCCTCTTTCCCCCCCTGAAGCCAATTACCTCATGAACAACAAAGCAATGACCATTTTCATTAATTAAAGATGAAGAGAGAAAGATCTGAACCACAAAATCTCAATTTTTTATACAAACACCAAGAGATGAACCCAATTTATCATCTCAATCGCCTCTTTTTCACGAAGAAGATGAATTATCATTGGTCTCTGATTATCGCACGTTGATAACAACAATGTACGGTATAAAGTACATTAATTCGATAGTAATAATTAAAATCTACATTAGGATAAAATTAAGGTGAAGCCAATAATGGTTCGTTCAAAGTGAATGAAAAAATTGTGCAAGAAAAATCGCTCTCAGTCTGAACGAAAATCTCATTCGACTATTTAGAAGAAGGCAACTGTTAAAAATCGAGACATTTCTAGAGTTGTCTCTCCGTATCATATAGACAAAAATAAAAAAATATGAGTGAGAGGATTTCATCTGAGATTCAGAGGAAAATCATTATTCCGTATTCAATATTATGTTAAGTTACTCGTCGCTATAATTTTCACTAAAGGTTTAATTGACTTATCGATAATAAAAAAAAAACAGATGGCAATTACGTATTTTTATCTGTTGCTAATGTGGAATTAATTGCAGTATTTATGAGGAGATGGGAGAGTGGAGGGATGAAGAATCATCTCGTCTCATTCGTCAACTTATTCTTATATTTATGATTTTATAAATGGAATACAAGAATAAACGTTTTACACGTATAATTCGTTGGGGTTTCGGTGAGGGACGCATCTTTTTTTCCTTATTCTTTCTTTAATCTGTACTAGCGCTTGATGCCCTTTTTCCTGTCAGACTCGATATTCCTTTTTTTCAACAATTGTTTATCATCATTCTCATTGCAAAAACCAATACGACCGATAGTAATCATATGTTGCCATTCATATAAATTCGTAATTATTATTGCAATTTATTTTTTCCATCTCCCAAAAATGGTGAAGGCTCAAACGGGAGTGACGAGTGGAGTGATCCTTCATTCTCTCTCCCATTTGACCCTGTTGACCCCTCCGCCTCTCTCCCATTTGACCTTCAGCCACCGAAATTCGCCGATCCATTTTGCCCCACCCACCTCTAAAAACGATAAAACTCCTCCACATCTTCCAAATAATTCCCTCCACAAATCAATAATTATTATGGAATGCAAAGAAAAATTTTAATGATTTTTTCCATCTCCCAAAAATGGTGAAGGCTCAAACGGGAGTGACGAGTGGAGTGATCCTTCATTCTCTCTCCCATTTGACCCTGTTGACCCCTCCGCCTCTCTCCCATTTGACCTTCAGCCACCGAAATTCGCCGTTCCATTTTGCCCCACCCACCTCTAAAAACGATAAATCTCCTCCACATCTTCCAAATAATTCCCTCCACAAATCAATAATTATTATGGAATGCAAAGAAAAATTTTAATGATTTTTTCCATCTCCCAAAAATGGTGAAGGCTCAAACGGGAGTGACGAGTGGATTATCCTTCATTCGTCCCTCCCATTTGTCCCTATTGACCCCTCTGTCTCTCCCATTTGACCTTCAGCCACCGAAATTCGCCACCGTTCCATTTTGCCCCACCCACCTCTAAAAACGATAAATCTCCTCCACATCTTCCAAATAATTTCCTCCACAGATCAATAATTACTATGGAATATAGACAAAAATTTAAATAATTTTATTCCATCTCCCAAAAATGGTAAAGGGTCAAACGGGAGTGACGAGTGGATTATCCTTCATTCTCTCTCCCATTTGACCCCTCCGTCTGTCCTCCCATTTGACCTCGACACCTTCCAAAAATAATTCCCTCCCCAAATCAATAATTATGGAAAAAAAATTCTCCCTTCTCTTTCAAAGCCGACTTCGGAGACCCCTTGACTCCCTCCGACAAATAAACTCTCGAGCCCTCAGCACTCGTCTCGATCATTCAAACAGCGAGGTGACCCCTCACAAAATGACGATTGAAGAGGTATCACGGCGTACGTGTACGCAGCCGTGTCTGCGCACCGACCGAACGCGTCTTTCTCGTATTTCGTTTGTACTACGAGTGGGGGGAGTCCTCTTCTCTCTCCTGTACGTGTGTACGTCACGCTAGACTACGATGACCTGCTCGGAAGGGGGGGGGGCGACGCGCGCAGGGGAAACGGAGTGGGGCGACTGTGGGCGGAGCCTCGGCCAGCTGGCAGATGTTTCCCGCGCGGTCGAGCCACAACTCTAGCGTAAAAACACGCGACAGTCAAGTAGTTCCTGTCGCCTAGGCAATTGGACGGCCAAATAAGTCCTTGGGATTTGTTTTCACCTGTGAATTTATTGTTGTGGAGGAGGTGTGAACGTTTTTTTTGAGTTATCGGGGGGATATCTTCGGATTGTCGGGGGATTTTTCGGCGGCTCAGACGCCGACGGACCCTGAGGGAGTCTCACGACGCAGGGGAGACGCTAGGAACGTCGAGCCCTGGGTAAATACTTTTTTTCTTTCGTTAATTACTGTTTTTTCTTATTCTTGAACTGTTTTTTTAAATTCTTGAACTGTTTTTTTTTATTCTGTTCGGGGAACTTTGACTTGTCGGGTTTTGAGGTTATATTTTTGGGATTATTTTTTTATTTGAGAGGGGAGGGCGTCAGGTGGTTGGAGAGCAGATTTGTCTCAGTAGTTCGGGAATGAAGGCTGAGTCGCCTTTTGTTTTGGCCTCTTTGTTGTCCCTACGCGGTAATAGAATGTAAACAGGGGAATGTTTGTTTTGGGTATTTTCGGGGAATGAGGTGGGGACGCATGATGGTTGAGAGAGTGGGATTTTGTTAGAGTTGTGGGGTTTATTGGAAATGCTTGCAGGAGGGAATTTGTTGTAGGGGAGGTTGGGGTAAAATGGACACTTGACTTTTTTAAAAATGTTAATGACAGATTGAAATGGTGATGAAATTTAATAATTTTTTTTTTTCAATGCAAAGAACAATTCTTGCCCTTTGTGATGAGCCTAAATTGAGCTCCATTGATAAATTTGTTTCTGAGTTATAAGTAATTTAAAAAAAATCCAAAGTGTCCATTTTACCCCACCCTCCCCTACTTCATTTTTGGTTATTGGGTAGCGAAGAGGGAAGAGGCGATTCGGTATGTTCTTTATTGCTCTTTACTTGATTTTTTAAGGGAATTGATCAATTGAGGGCGTGATAACTAGAAAAAAATATGATTTTGTCTTGCTTTCGGGGAAGAAATGTTTTTATTTCTGTAGAGTTTAGGACGATGGAAATTATTTTATTTATCATATCATTTTTTTTTCGATTTCCTCAGTTTTGAAAATGTATTCTGTCATTTTTTAAAATGACATCACTCATTCTAGAGATATTTGGAAAAAACTAGAGGAAAGTGGAAGGGCAGTGAATTATGTTGTTTAGGGGGCAAATGGGAGGCGGAGAGGTCAAGAGGGTCAAAGGGGAGAGACCAGCGAAGTGATCACTCCACTCGTCTCTCCCATTTGATTATCAAAAATGTTTGACCCTTTGCCAATTATTGGCCCACTCCTTCACACGTTCTTAAGGTTCAAATGAAAAAAACTCCCATTTGATCAATTCAATCGTCTCTCCCAGTTGACCATTAACCTGTCCCTTCCGTTTGACCTTCAAAAAAGTTCGATCACCTCGAACTTAAAAGTTCGATGCTTTTTTAAGGGTCAAATGGAAGAGTTCAAACTACTCGTCTCTCCCATTTGACCCTCAAAAATGTTTGGCCATTTGCCTTTGTTCAGTCCACACCTTCACACGTTCTCAAGGTTCAAATGAAAAAAAACATTCCCATTTAATCACTCCATTCACCTCTCCCAGTTGACCCTTAACCTGTCTCGTCCGCTTGACCTTCAAGAACGTTTAACCTTTTTGCGGGTCACATTGAGGAGGTCAAACTTCACTCCCGTCTAACCCTCAAAAAATTTGAGCCTCCGTCTGACCCTAAACAACATTGGACCCTTCATCATTTTTAAAATTTTTAAATTGAAAAAATGTTTAAAAATAGCCAAAAAAATCTATCTGAATTCTCTATATTCGTTTCCCTCTCCATTCCATTTTGCCCCACTCCCCCTCTCCATGAAAACAATTGTTAACGAATAATTTTTCCCCCAAAAAAATCCTTTAAAAAAAAAATTCAAATTTCAGGTGGAGTTTTCAAAAGTTCCTGTCACCCCAAAAAAATGTAGAATTCCCCCCTCATCAGCACCGCTAGTTACGCCCCTGTCTACCGGCGGCGGAGTGATATTGAATTTGCGTCGGCATTTCGTGGGGGCCCTCAGCTGTTTCCCGCCAAAGATCGCCATTACAAAACGCGTTCGGGCGTTGTGTTGTGCGCCGCCGGAGTGGCTCTCCCCGTGGCTAAATAATCTCACTTGCGCCCCGTTAAATATCCAACAGTGCTTTTTGTATAAAAAAACAAAACAACTCGGAAAGATACTGTTTATTTTTCCGTTTTAATTTATTTCCACCCATTTTAACAATTTATTCAATCGTGAGGTGGAGTTTATCAAAGTGAATAAACGGGTGGTGTTGTGCGGCGCTTCCTGGCGCCCTGAGGGCACGCCAATACGGATCAATTCCCAGTAATTGACCCCCAACGGATTATTGAAATAAAAATATCGCGAGTGAAGACGAAACGTTTAATGAATTCAGTAAAAAATGATGAAAATCAACGAGTAAAATCGATTTTTAAAAATAATGAAATCAATTTTTTTTCCAATCTGTTTTGAAAAAATTAGTCGTGAGTAATCAAGTGATTGAATTGAAGTGAATTGACTGAACACGAGTGAGAAATTGAAATAATTTTTGATATTTCCTAGGCTGAGGAACAGAACAGAACACTTCAGGATCGTTTTTTTTACTTAATCCTGTGTTAAAAAAAAATATTGTGAGAGTCATCCAGTGGTTTATCATTAGTCTTATTATTATTGAACTAAACATTGTTTCGTCAACGACGAAAGGTGAAATTTAGTGACAAGTGGGTGAGGAACAACGAGATATGTCAGTGTTTGGTGGTGACGAACGGATTGTGATCGAGGAAATTGTCGAGACAACCGAAGACCAGGAGACTGAGTTTTTCGGGTGAGTTGATTGTTATTTCCATTAACCAGATGTTGTCCATGCTATTGATACAATTTTTTTATTATTTTTCTGGGGTTAAAAATTGTTTAAACATCGATCGTATTTACTCATTCTCTGGTGACTTGATTGAAATTCAGAAGTTGTGTTTCAAATGGCCATATCTACGTAACAAATGGTCCGATTTGAGCGAGTCACAGCTCATTTTGAAGTCTGAAAAAATATCTTTAAAATGAGAAAAAAAAATTTTATCCTCATACTTCCAATTTCGAGATATCGCAGATTAACCGCGGGATCTTTTGTCCAGATTTTTTTTCAATTTGTTTATGCATTTTTTGCATTTTTGTTCTGAGTCGTTTGGGTTTGTTTTATCCTCTCGGCGATTTAACGTTACTTCCCCCCGCCCCCTCCCCTTTCCCCCTCCCCTCTATTATATCTCCAACATTTTGCCCTCCATTTTTTTTTTCTGAGGCAGAGACACGACTGATTTACCGGTTTTTGTAATTTTTATTTTGCACAGACAGGACAGACAATTGTTGTGACGTAATGAGAGCGTTCTGACGCGGTGGGAAAGAGCATATATCACGGTATGACGGGTGATTGTGTCTTTGAATGTTTGCGCGGGG